GGACCCGCGGGCCCGTGTGTACCTAAACCCGTACCGGGTGTCGCGTCCTGCCCGGCAGAACGGGCTGCCATCGCGTGCCGCTACGTTTGGGGTTTTTATAGGTGCTGAAAGATGAGCTCCAGGACCGCCAAAGATATAATTGTTGGCAAGTGGGGCTTGAAGTCGGGTATCTCCAGAGGTGAGGGTGGACTCGAGAAATGCAAGCAGGAGAACGCTGCCCTGAGGAAATCGATGGAGGAAATCCTTAAAGGGAAAAGCAGAATGGCTGATCCGGAAAGGAGCATGCTCCTGGAGGTGAGGTGATGTTTGACTTGAAGTGGCCTTTGTGATGGTCTAATTGTATGCGGTTCACATCAGTTTGAGTATGCCTGAATTTAAGCAAGATGCCAATCTTTCATCTAAAGCTTAGTTTACTTTGATGTCAGTACTGGTTTAGCTTGATATTTTTCAATGGTGACTGAACTAATAAAATCAGAGTCATCTGACAAGGCTGTCAAATACAAAGGCCAGAGGTTCCAATTAGTCCATTAAGGCCTGTCCTTGCATGTCCAGCTGTTCAGAACAGCTGGTCTCACAGAATCATTTTGAGCACTTTCTACAACGAACATTATGTTTGTGAACAGTTGCCTAGGGCACATGCCGAAAGGTGCAAAGTATTTGGTTGAACTATGTTCTCTCTCAGCTATAGGCAAATAAAACTGTAATCAGGTCACCACATTCTTCCATTACAACCAAGACACTGCATTTTCCATGCCTTTTTTCTCCATTCAAGGTTAGCCTGTGCTTGCAGATAAAGAAGTTCAAGACTTAGTATGTGACCAAGTCACGTACTGTGAGGTCTCCTAGAGGACTGGGAAACTTTAAATGGACTTTTTCAAAGGATGTGATTAATGGAGACTAGGCACACAAATATTTCTAGGCTACTTATTTTGACAATAAGGTATTTCATGTGTCTGTACTACAACATCTCTAGGGAAGTGCTAACCCAAGTACCAGCTATGGCTAGAGAGATCATGTACTGCTGTGGCTAAATTCCTTGTCTATTTGCTGTGTCTGGTGAAGTCTGCTGCCTGCTCAGTGTTGGATACTTAATACTGGGTTCTTAGTTTACAGGTAGAAAATCATGGACATGTTTACATATACTAGGTACTATTTGGTGTCAGTATTTCAACTCTAGCGAGCACAGTGAGGTCTTCAACCACTCCCTGAAAATGAAATGCTATCATAACAGAAGCTTAGATAGAGCCCCAGGACATCTCAAATGCAGTGCTAATGCTGTGTAATAATTACCTGTGCTGGAGGCCTACTGCAAAGAGAGTGCCTGTTGAAAATGTCTACTAAAGCACGTTTTGAAACTGAAAGGCTGGATAATTTGGAAAACAGGATCCTTCTTCTGAATGCTTCATTATAATACTTTTGTAACTTCACTTACTGTCATTTAGTTTGAAAAAAGGCTCTGCTGCTTCTCAAAAGCTACTAGGTAAGCCAAACAATGCTAAGAAACACATCACCAACCTCTTCACTGGATGTGTTTTAGAGTTCTTGTACTGCTTGTGTTTCCAGATTCATATACTTTAGTGATCTGTGTTCCTATACAAAAGCCAGTACCTACTAAGTCTGTGAAATTTGGTTCTTTGCATTCTGTCCTTGTGTCATTTACCTCGGACTGGTTTTACTATCACTTGAAATATTTCAGATGACCACTGCAGTATTGTCTGGTTTAAGTAAGAAGTAATATTCTCAGCTAATCAGAAGCTAAGAGAGAACCTTTCAAAGTGAATATCTTCTCAAACTGTTGTTAACTTGCTAATGCATTTGTTGCATAGACTGACACTCATTTGTGTCACTTTTTTTATTCTGTTTCATTTAGAAAATACTTTCCCTTGAAAAAGAAAAGGAGAAACACAACCATCTTCTTGAAGAGAAGGACAAAGAAATCCAGAACCTGAAAGACAGGCTTAAGTCCAAAAACAAGAATAGTGAAGTCTCCGTATTACAAAGTCAACTTGAGGAAAAAACAAAGGAAGCAGAAAGGCAAGATCAGTTAATTTGTTCTCTATCGGAAGAAATGAACCGGTTAACATGTAATTTAGCCACTGTTACTGCAAAATGTTCTGAGCTTGAAAACAGAACTGGTACTTCTCAAGCATCCCAGGTAAGCACTGAAGAAACATTGGAATTTGTGCCCCCCAAGCACCAATATCTGTTATAAAATTTTGGGTGGATTTTTAAGAGTTGTGTTGCATGCTGAAATATTCTTGAAGACAGCTGCTATCCAGATTGAATGATAAGTGAAGGTCAGGGAGCACAACTTCAGGCAATGCAGCTGGGGAGGGAATTCTCTAATGCTGTACTGCAGTGTCCCTTTTCAAGCCCACGTGCAAGTGGTATGACTGGTGGTACCACATGTAATGATCCACTGTTGCTTAAGCAGATGCTGTGCTCTTCTTAGATTTATATGCTCTGTAATTAAACACACTGACAAGGCAGCAGTAATAGGAACATGGGGCATTAATAAAGACAAGCTGATTTCCTCACCTAATTCAGCTTCAGTCATGAGAATATCTTTTCCCCTACTCTTATGAATCGTCATTTACTCCTTAGTTCTTAAAACTAGTTGTCTGTACTCTACATGACATCACACAGAGTAAATCAATGTGACAGAAGACGAGTAATGAGTTGCTTATCTCATTCAAAGTGGTTAATAGGCACGGTGCCAGGCACTTGGCAGCTTTTACAAGTGCTTTCAGTTTTCTACAGTTGTTTTTCCACTCCCGCTTGTCCTAATGTTCCACAGAAAATGTAGTGGTATCTTACGTGCACAGGGAAGGCAGTACCTAAAAATAGGTGCCTTTAAGTGTTTTCCAGCTTTTGACCTGCAGATGGTGCTGGTTCTCCGTGCTCTGCATGGAAATTGAGTAATTTCTAGAAATTCAGCTTTAGCCAAATACATAGCAAAATATCTTAAAACTACTAATTTTCAATGATTATATATATCTGTGTCACTTCTATTAATGCAGTATCTTGGAAAACAGCACTTTAAATGCAACGTGGTTATTTTCAATTTCAAAAGTTGAACTTTGTTAAAGAATTTAAAATGTATGTTAATTGGAGATTTCCACAATAGTTTTGTCAACGCACTACCAGAATGTCTTTTAGTTTAAAGCCAGAATTTTCGTTTAAATTTTTAATTGATTCATCAACAGAAGACAGCTAAATGTGACTGATGGTTTGACTGGATGACTTGGGAAAACTTGAAAGTCTGCAATGCCGCTTGAAACTGCTAGGTGGCACCTAAGCAGCAGGGATACTTTGAGACTGGAACAACAGTTGAATGATGCAATTTTGAGAAAGTTTTCACTGAGGCAGAATTTTAATTTTCGTGGAAATAGGAAGCTAAGTAGTTGTAGCATTTCTCAGTTCTCTTTTGATTAGGAAGTGCTGATATTCAATAACTGCATTCAAAGTTCTTCTGTATTTTTTTCAGTTCTAAACCTTGCTGTAAATTACGTCCAAAAAAAAAATCACAGGAAAATGTTGGAAAAATGTAGCTTGGATTTAGGAAGTAATCTACCTTTTTTTTTTTTTTCCCCTCAACGTAAAGTCCCCTTATTTCTACACAATTTCAGAAAAGCTTTCCATCATGCAGTGAATAAACATGTCAGAGAATAAAAGCAGTATAACTGTTTAACTGCTCTCTAGCTTTACATGGGTCTAAAGAACTCTGACTCACAGGTTAAGCACTCTGCTGTGGATCACTCTCAGAAAATCACTCAGTATGACCTTGTGGTTCCAGACAGGCTTGCTTGGTTTCCCAGAGCTTTATAATCTTATTGTTATCCCAATGAAGTTGTCAAGGTCTCTAGCTTTCCCCAACAACCCAATGGGCCTGGCTTATTGTCAAACTAGTAACTGGTATGAGGATATGAAAATAGAACAAACACCTTTTATGTGTATTTAAATAATACCCTAAATATCTTTATTTTTCAGCTCTCCTCCACCCTTCAGGTCTTCTTAGATAGCAGTTCAGCAAAAAAAACCACGACAGGCTTCTTAGTTTTAATGTAACTATGAGTTACAGAGTTATGGAAGAAATCAAATGTAAATCTTTGTCCTGTATCTTGCAGGAGACTTTATTTTAAATCTATGAAATTATTTTCTCTATAACTTAGATCCTCCTTAAAACAAACAAAAAAACCTATGAAGATCTTTAAACTTCTGCCATTTGTGTGAGATTAACAGTTATACAGGACTAGCTTTACTGTCTCAGCCATACATTTTAAAGAACACTAATAGGTTGTTCTTTGACTGCAGGACGCTGTAACAAATAGCACTGGATCACCAACTAATCTTCATGAAGTTGAAAAACAACTGAAAGATGTAAGTTTCCTGTACAACACTGCAAGTACAAATCATCTGCATCAAGAAGCATAAGAATGTCAATTATCACCATATATGATTTTAGTTAGTATGGGACCTCAGAGGGAATGTTTCCTCTAAAATACAGTATCTAAAATTATTTTGTACCAAGACAACATTTAAAAAAACATAAAAAAAAAAAGCCAAACAATAAAAAAACCCCATACAGAAACATAACAAAACCCAAACAAAACCAGAAACCTTGTCCATCTCCCTCCCCCTAAAAAAGACAATGTTTCCACTACCTTTGAAAAACCTTGCTTGAAATATTCGAACAAAGTGGTTGCTGACAAAACAGAAGCCCAAGGAACCTGGCCTTGCCTTGGAGCTGACTGTCTGGAGTAGCATGAGGTTGGATTAGAAACCTCCCATAGTAATCTCCAAACTGAACAATTCTGTGATCCAGTTGGGTGTAAAATCCATTTCCTTGTCCTTACAAACTTAAAGTTGCAATGATGCTCTTTTCCTTTATTCCACTTTCAAGATATGTTATTTTGTATTTTATATTTAAGGATGAAAGGTAAATTCTTCATAATCTGGGCATAACTCATGAAATCTTAATTTTTAAGTCATTTTCCCATTCCAAGAAGTAAGCCAGTCAGTATTTAATATTGCTGCAATTTTAACTTGTGCTCAGAAACCTGACTTACCTTTCCAAATGAAGATGCACTGTAATTATTGTACAGAGATTACTACGGTTTGCAGCAGAATTAACTAGCTTATCTTTGAACTGTGTAATATGTAGCTGTTTAACATTAAGAAATAAGACTAATACTTTTGAAATCTGATAAATGACCAGAGGTTTTTTCATTTTTCTTCTGTTCCCTTTCATGAAGGCTCTTGAGAAAAACCAACAGTGGCTACTGTACGACCAACAACGTGAAGCATATGTCAGGGGCCTGCTTGGAAGGATCTTTGAACTTGAACAGAAGCCAGAAATAGGTAACCAACAACAATCTAAAGAATTTGATTCTGAAGGTATTGACTTTTATTTTTACCCCAGAAGTAACCCAAACCATAATTACCTATAGAGTAAGTTTTCTGAAAACAAATTATAGCACAATAAAACAAAATCAAGACTTACTTTCTCAACATTTTTGTTTAATGGTAGAACTTGGCTAAGTAAAATTTCTTTGCTTCTTGTTATCTAGCTATGTTACTTGATCAACAGTATTTCATGTTCTTATCTACTTCAGAGATGGTTTTTAACAGCCTTGACACTCTATTAGCAACCTTTCTGTTTGTGAAAAGTGTCGAGGCAAATATATATGTATGTCTCCCATCCTTCAAAATATACTTTCAACCTACATAATGGAGGCATTAAGGATTTATTAGCTAGGTGTGGATCAGGTTTTTTAAATTTACTTGTTTCAAAATAAATATTATAAAAATGACTCGAGACTGCCATGTTCTTTACTCGCCTGAACAGTTGTTACAGAGCATGAAAACCTGTCATAGATTTTGGCAGCTATCCAGAGCAGTGTTTCGCAATATGCATCTGGCCACCTCTACCTCACTTCTATGCTATGCAGCTCCTCAATCATAGAATCATAGAATAGTTAGGGTTGGAAAGGACCTTAAGATCATCTAGTTCCAACCTCCTTGCCATGAGCAGGGACACCACACGCTGAACTATGTCGCCCAAGGCTCTGTCCAGCCTGGCCTTGAACACTGTCAGTATCACACATTCAGATTAACTTTGTGTTTGACCAGCACATGGAATATTGAAATCATGTTGAATAAAAGAACCAGAAGGATTTGGCTTGCTTTTCTTATTATCTAATTCTTAATTTCGTATATGCTAACTGACCTGCAAGGTAAATTCACTAAATAGAATTAGCATCATCTGGAGCAAGAGTATGCCCACAGAGTAATTGCCACTTGCCACTTAGTAATTCAAATGCAGTAGCTTGGTTTCTGTATTACTGCTTGAAGTTTTATGGAAAGCAGTAAAATACCATAATCTTGTTTTGGTGCTGTTTAGAAATCCACAAACAGTATTTTAGAGGGAGGCAGACTGCAGTAGCTCACCAGGAAATGTAACTCAGAATTATTGCAAAGCTTTGTCATCAGAGCAGGCAGGAGACTAGGAGTAAACGCATAAGAAAGTTCCTCTCTTCAAGCAGCTAGACAGTTGCAAAAATCCAAATTTCTAAGAACTTAGCTGTACAAAGTGAGAGTAGATATGACAAGTTTTTCCTTGGAAAAACCCCATGTGTATCTGAGAGTCTTGCCACCCTGTAAAGAAGTATTGGTAATAAGAAGGTAAGGCTTAGTTTGTAGTCGAGGGGAGGAAGAACAGTCAAGCAAGAAACTCTTCCTTGTAAATTACACTTTGAAAATGAGAGGAAGCCTTCAATAGGAAAAGTAACAAAGTCAAGAAATCTACAGTGCCAAAAATCAGCAAAGCCTGAGAAAGCCCACATTCCTTGCTCTGCTTCTAGGTGTATTTTATATTATTTTTTTATTACTTCTTTTATATTACTTATTTCTAGACTGCCTTTTTGCCTTTTTTTTCACCTCTTACTTACTAAACTTTTCTTGGGTCAATAGCCAGAATTTTTTCAAACTCTGGTTGAAGCCACTAGCCACGAAGCAGGCTTTTTTAAATAAAAGAATCTATCCTAGTCCTTTCTATTTGCAAATTAGAAGTAAATGATAGCATACAATTTGAAGAAGATAGTCTGCAAAAGATAATGGATTGTCTGGCTTTGGTCAACAGTGGTGAAGTACAGCCCATCAGATCCCCAGGGCATCTCTGGGGAGGGAGTAATGCCAGAACCTTGGTTAAGGAGCCTAAATATGGAAGTGAGAATCTAGTGTCTTTGGAGCTTGATTCCCATGCATCTATGTTATGCATGAGGCTGTGTAAGAACTACCTGTGGTACATGGAACTGTGTAGTCAGGGCGGAGGTTATATTGTTGCTATAAGGGTTATTGAAGGAAGCGGTAGCACAATACTATGCACAAGCCAACTTGTAGTTTCCCAGTTAACTATATTGGGAACTCTACTGCATTAGAAGTACTGAGAGCTGTTTTAGCTAAAGTTCGGTGCTAATCTGAGCTGTGTAATAGCCTAGAATGTTTATTTCCATCTTATGTCTTAAAATACCAAGGATTTGGTGTTCTGAATGTAAAGTGTGTTTTGTTTTGTTTAATTTTTTTTTTCCCCACATTACTATCTCAATTATTTCTGGCTTTTTAAGGTCAGCTACAAAGGGAAAAGCAAAAATATTATGATCAGCTGTTACTAACTGCTAAGACTGATCTCCAGACTGAAAGATGCACTGTAACCCAGCTGAGATCTGAACTTAACAAATTCAAGAAGAAGTATGAAGAAACACAACAAGAAATAATAAGTTTAAATGCCTTATTGCAGTCACAACAGGCTAGTGCAACCAAGACTCTAGAAAATGAAAATAAAATGAAAGAAGAGAAAGTGCAGAGACTAAAACAAGAAAATGAAGCTATTAAGGCACAGGTCAGAGAAGAAAAGAAAAAATCTGAAGATCTTTTATGTCAGGTAAGTGGATGCATTGGAAGTTTAGTATCCATTAGCAAAGAATCAAGAGAGCTGAAAAGTCATACTGAATCAGAATGGACTATCTCTCACTCTGGTGACTGTTCTTTATGTATTGCTAGACTTACATCCTTCTGGTTAAAACTGATTTCTTTCTTTAATGTATCGGTTTGCATCAAAATCGAACTGTGAAGTTTCCTTTTTTAAACAATGAACTTATTATTTTTAAACTTATTCACTTATTTCCCTGGTCTTGTTGGACACGAAGGAGAAGCAAGAGAATAATTTATTCTAATCTAGTTCATCCTTAAGGTAAAGTAAAAGGAAAGGTAAAAATTATCTGGCAAGGGCCAGATAAACAAAGGAAGGGATGGACCTTCAGTTGTTACTGTCTTGAAAACAGCTATGGTAGAAACCACTGAGCAGAGTTCTGTAATTATAAAGCCTAGGGAGTGCCCGTCAGGCTGCTCAATACTTGTGGTTTATGCTGTTGCCAGATCTGTTCTGCTGCTTTTGCATCAGATTCTAATTATTCCCAGAGAGTACAGTGATGATTTCAGTTAAATGGTTTTGTTAAGGTCTTGATTATTCCTTCCTTCCTTCTCTTTTTGAGCTCAATGACTTTAACATCTCTGGCTGATCAGAATTGGGAGAAGACATGTATATGCTATATGTTTGTATTTAAAAATGTTTGGTGCTTCCCTCCTTTTATTTGGAATACTCACGAGGGCTTTGCTGCTTCCCCTACATGGAGAGTTACAGTGGTATGGTGGTGTCTGGTGTCTTGGAATATTCCTATCAGCATGGTGATACTAACAAAAAAAAAATTATATATATGTATGTTGTTTCTTCTTCCAGACACAGAATCATGACCACACATCTGCTGAAGAGAAACTGGAAAGTCCTCCTTGAAGGACTGTCCTTAGGGCATCCAAATAAGATAAACTTGCTACTTGGAGAAGTTTGGGGTCAATAACAAAACAATGTAGAGCTGAAATTTTAAATATGAGAATAAAATTCACTGGTTTTAGCCTACTTTAGTGCCTGGAACAACAGTTTAGCTCTCAAAACACAGGCTGGTTCTCTCTGGTTAATAACAATTAAAAGGGGTTTTTTTTTTTTTTTGGGGGGGTTTTTTTTGGGGGGTTTTTTTTTTTTTTGAGGTGGTTTATATTGGTGGGTTTTTTTTTTTTAGCTGAACAGCAGCATTCACTATAAAAGTTGATGCATGCTGTTAATAGAGGAGGATATTTTATTGTATACATTTACATAATCCTTTATAGTGTAGTACTTCCTGTGTCTTAAACTTGTTGTCTTCTATCAAAAAAAATAAAATTCATTGCTTGCTTTTTATTAACATCATGACGTGTTAGTGCAAACAGTTTTGTGTGCACATTTTTCCCTGCATCCTGGCAATTGTCTAAGAAAGTTCAGGTTTTTGTTTCCTCAATGCAATAATGATGTTTCCCTGGGAAAACCCCAGGGAAGTAGAGACATTTGAATTTGGTTTGGCTGCTGCATAACAGGCATACGTTTTCTGTTAGTGTTGGAATAGAAAAGTTTACTTCCACCCCATTTTAGAGTCATTATTTGTTAAGCCTATTAACTATTGTATGTGGAAGTTTTTTGTTACAGATGTTTTTCTTCCTTGTAGGTGCAACTTCTTCGTAAATTATTGCTCAAACAGCAGGAGGAACACAGTAGGATAGCTTTGTTGGAACAACAGGTAGCCAATTACACACTAAGATGCTGATACTTAATTTGTATTATACACAAGGGCTTTCTAGACTAACTTCAAATTTAAGAATGATTAATATATTAAACAAAGTAGTACTTACAGTTGAATATTTGTGCCTAGTAATCTCTTGATGTTTCTAAAAATTGACATGTGTCAAGACAAAGACCTGCAGCCTTTTACAGGATGGAATCTTGGGTGGCATGGTTTAGTGTGTAGTGTCCCTGCCCGTGGCAGGGGGGTTGGAACTAGATGATTTTAAGGTCCTTTCTGACCCTAACTATTCTATGATTCTATGTTTTCTCCACAATCACTTGTTCAACTGTACAGCTTCAGATTAGGTATGGGAAACATGCTAAAACCAGTCAGCTCATTGAAGTTTTGTAATATACCCTTATGAAGTTATACAAATAATTGCATTGCCATATTTTCCATCTTCTCTATTTCTTTCCAAGTACATTGTTACATCTAACTGATGTTATTGGGGGGGGGAGTTACATTTACTTGCTAAGCTTGAGTGTACAGTATTACCCATAGTTCCTGTCCGAATTATCTTGATACAAGAAAGATCCTGGAGTAGAAACTGTCATTTTTAATGAGAACTTACCCTATATGCTTTTCTGTAAAATGCTCAGCTTAAAATTGCAAGATAGCTTGAAGTGTGTTCCAACCAAAATAACTTCAAATTCCACCTCTACTAAGGGAGAATATTTTCATAATTGGGCACATATGAATTTCACTGTAGTGAAAGCAACAAGGGACTTTTTTCTTTTTTAAAAAAATTACTTTTTAAGATATGATTGCACAGTAAAACTTTATATATATATAGGGGACACCCCCTCCCCCAGTTCTTAATAATTGTGACTTTAATTCTTTACTTTTCCCTCTGGGGCATTGCCCCATCCAGATATGCACCACAGACTTTGAGAATAAAAACCTTGATCAACAGAACTTGCAGCATCAGTTAAACGAAGTCCTTAAGGAACTGCGCGAGGCTAGAGAGCAAATAGCCCGTCTGGAACCTCTGGTATGTACTGAATAGCTTGCAGGTGAATTTAGTCAGGGATTTTGCATAAATGCGCTTTTTTTCACTCTGGGATCTTATTTCAAGTCTTCTGTTCGTGTCATCAGATATTCCCTGTAGGTCCTTATATCTTTTAGGTATGTATTGCCAAGGTGCAGAGCCCTGTGTCACCTAGCTATGCATCATTTTTCTCTACAGCATGCATGGAGAACTAGTACAGCAGATCCAGAACAGTCAGGTTCCTGAGCAGGGAAAAGTAATTGTATTTTGTATCACAATGTGTTATCTGGTTTTGTCTGTTGTAGAATGACAAAGCTGCATTATGCCTCTATTCAGTCTTGCTGCTGGTGAATAGGGCACAATCCTGACACATAGATGTTGAATTCCTCCCCACTACCATCTGGTGTAAGATGGGTGGGTCATTAAAACCTGGGATTTTCATGTCCAAAAAGATAAACTCCCTACTGCACCTACTACAATGAATAAAGACATTAGTTGTATTGTGAGGACTGTGGTTTGTTTGCTGCTTAATATATAAGCCCAAAGAAAGCCACCTAGACTTGAACCCTAAACTTAATGGAGAAATTTATAGGGAAAGAGAAATTTAAAGTGAAAGATTAAGTATTAAGCAAGCCATCGATCTGTTTTGCTCTGCTGTATCCAGGATTGCCTAACCTTGTAAGATTAGGTGATAGCTGAACAGAATTGTCAAAATTTCGGTTCTAGATTTAAATGAGCTTCAGAATGGAACCTGTGTCCCTCATTAGATCAGGTCTGGGGCCACTGTGATTTTTACAAAGAAGATAAATGCAAAAGCTCCTAACGTGGCAGATGAGGATTTCTTCTGCAACTCTGCCAGACTGCTCTCCCTTTTAGTTGTAGGCAACTTGGAAGTATTTTCTCAAAAGAGGAAAGGAATGGAATGAATCCTGAGATTCTGATGTTCTTCACTCACTTCACAACACTTCAACATGTGTTGCCCCTGGGAGAGCCCCACTTGCTAAGATTGCAGTTACTGCTGCAGCTGCCTGGGGAGACCACTGGAAAACTTCTGTTTGCTGGGAGTAGAGCGTAAGTTTGGGCAGAGCAAGGAAGTTACATATTTGAGTTCTTCTGTGCTAAGAAGCTGGAGGAGCAGCTGTGAAATGGACAGCTAGGTGCCTTTTGCAGTTAGGGACAGACTTCATGACAAAAACTTCATGCATGAGATCAGGAGGAGAACTGGAATTACAGCAGAGTTTTGGGGAAGGTAATTAGGCAGTATCCTATGTAGAGGGGACTGAGGCATCCTTTTATTAAGGCAAGTGTGTGAGCAGTTAGGAAGATGGCTGGGGAAGGATTCCCAGTCAGACATTGTGGGAAAACCTGTCTTAAATAGTCTGCAGAAAAGCTAGCTGCAATCTAATCTAAATGTGTTAGAATTGTACAACAGGCCCTCTGTTGCTAGCACGAGTAGTGTAACTGCATTTAGCCATCTTTAAAATTCTACCCTTAGTGCTGTAACACACACAATGCTTATGTGCCATCAAACCTTAGCATCTGATCAGCGCATGCATGCCCCAACCTTACACGAAATCTTCTCTTCCAGAAACTCCAGGAATCTGGACGTATGGAACTGCAAGAAGACTTGCAAGTTGCATTTGAAGAGAAGCTGACTGTGTATGACAGAAGTCCTTCCCCAAAACATTCCAACCTTCTTGATGAAAGTTTTCTTGAGTGTCCCAGATGTAAAATGCAGTATCCAACAAGTCAGCATAGAGAATTACTAGCACATATTGACTTTTGTACAGCTTGAGCTCCACATGGAATTAATATATTTGCTTTATACACAGTCAGTGTGCTCTTCTACAAAGGCAAAAGATCTTTTTAAAGCTTTTTTTTTTTCCTAAGGTTGTATAAAGGACTACTAGTTTTATAACACGGTTCCACAAAAACATCATAGTAATTTATTTAGCCTCACATATTTCACCTGATGTTTTTGCAAAAAATAGCTACTGCATTTTTGGATGCCAATGGAAATATTTTTAGAATGAGGAATATCTTCAAAAAGCAATCTACTGACTTATGGTTTTTTGCACTATTAAAAATGGGAGCAGTAAAAGCACACCTATTGTGTCAGACTTTATTTTAATGTTTGGCATATCCAGTTCTTGGCTGGTGAATCCTGGTGACTGTGCTTGTTCCTTAACTGACAGTAATAGCTGCAGAAGATTTTTGGCCCTCATAGGTAAACTATATATATATTTATATATACAGGGGGGTATGCATGTGTGTAGTGTACATACTATGTATAACTATGTATGTATCATACATGTGTAATGTTATCACCATCTTGATATATTAAAACTCAGGAGGGTCACGTTAGATCTTTGCTGCTTAAGATTCATGTTGAAAACGTCAATCACAAATAGCTTATTTTCCTGAACTATGATCAGGGGTGACTTAGAGCTTATATAAAAATGCTGACCAAGGTTTAAGTTCTTCTCAAAAAATAAAATGTCATTGGGAAAACAAAATTCCTAGCAAATACAAACTTTCTTGGTACTGGAAAAAGTTTGTATTTCACACAATGTCAGAGACCACTTTTGCAGTTTGTATATAGAATTATGCTGAAGTAAACTTGTTTGCACTTCTTTATTTTAGAGGTTAAAATTGGGAAATGTCACTTATTCAATCTGTTACATTTGACAAATATCCCAGTTCAAAAGCGCAGTTTTTAATAGATTGCTCTAGTGGATGTGAAGTGTCACTGCATTTTGGTATTAATACAGAAAACAAGCCAGCAATAAATTTTTGCAACAAATTAAAACTGGCAAAAAAAAATCCTTCACGGATTTGCAATCACAGTGTTATTTTCTTTTAGCACTTATTGTAAACCTAGATCTGTTGCAAGCATTTTGCTCCTTGCATCCATACTTAAGTCCAGCAAGCAGTTCCTTCCACAAAAATTGAAGTGAGAAAATTTTACAAAGATATACTACTTAAGAGAAATATGCTTCTTTTACACTTTTGTATGGTTTGCTGAGGACTGAAATTGCCCAGGTCTATCTTTCTCTGCCATACTTATTGTGATTGCTAGCTAGTATCAGCTTTTTCCATCACATTTTGCTGCAAAGATGTATGCCTTTACCCCATAATGATCACCCTAACCTCTGATGGTTAAACCTTATTCTTAAATATGATGGTGTCTTCCAAGTTGTTTTCAGTAACTATAATATCAAGTGATGTTGTTATCAGTTAAAACTAGTGTTCATGAGAGAGAAAGAAAATGTTAAAAGCTCTTATCTTCATCTCTGAAATGTATTTGCCAAATCTATTGTATTAGTCACTATCTATCCACTTTTCAATTTCACCAACCGTGTCTCAGGCTAACCTTGTGTTTGACATTTTTGATCAACTGTAGCTACAGCTTTTTGACCAAAGATATAATGAACTACTGAGTAAAAAAGAAATTATGCTTCAGAATCTCAAAGTTTTGCCATGAAGAAAACTGTCTTAATTTCATGTCTTATTTCTTAAACATTTTTTAAATTCAGATAATGACTGTGCTTTTTATTGCAGCCTAATGTTTTTAATCTCTAATTAAACTACTTTTGGAAGTTTAAGTTAGTTGTCTTTTAGCAATACATTAATCCACTGGTATTCTATTCCCAGTTGCATACTCGGCATAGTTTCTGCAAAAGGAAATTCTGATCTTTTATGTATTATAGATGAAATAAGTTTTCCTGCTACAGGCCAGCAGTCTTCAGTAGTTCTGTGGCTTTCTTAAATTAGCACAAACCACTTTTTCATTTGAAGCAGGTACTGTAAAGGGAGAATCATTAAGCTGATGATGTGATAGCCTTTGAAAAGTTTTGTTCATTTCAGCACCTCTTCTTTAGCAATACATTCAGTCCTACTGGCTAAAGATTAGACCTAAGCACAAAAAAAAACTTGCTGATAAATTTATACACAGCATCAGGGTAGTATATGTTGAAAATTACCAATATGACATTCTAGTGCGACAGAAGACCTATTTCGAAGGCAGTACCACAAACAATATTGTTGTCACATATGACTAAAAGCAACTATAAAACTCCATAAAGCATGCAGAATGTTTCACTCTTTTTTTCTCTAGGACTGGAAATTATTTTTTATCCTGAAAGTAAATGAACAAGAAAAAGGTCTAAAGGTCTGCTGCTCCTCTCTCTAGTTATATGTAGGACAGAGAGGTTTGTGCCTAATGAGCTCATCTTAATGCTAGGATTTAGCTGCAAGTTTAGTTCTTTATAAGGCAGGAGGTAATTTTTGAAAAGCTGTTATTTCAAGCAGTTTGAGTATAGTTTCAGCAGTCTTCTTCTGAGTTATGTCTGTTTCAAGTAATTGAATCTCAGCCTGGCAGAAATTCTGTGAAATCTGCATCATTTGAAGATGTTGGGCTAGGGAAGCTTCTGGATTAATGCAAGTGTTCACCAGTGTCAACATACTTATACGTCCTGGCTGTCACATCCTGTGTTCTTTGTAAACAGCAAGTGAGTGAAATGGGTTTGATGCCACGGGCGTGGTTGGAAAGACAGCTCAACTCTGCATAACAACTGACTTTTTACACAAGGAGAGCTGCTTGTGAAATAACAACTGAATTATGGCTCTTATTTTCCTTCCATCAAATGGATCAACTTCCAATCGTTTGCTTGCCTGTGCAGTTTTCTCTCTTCCTCTTGGTTTCAATAACCTTTCACAGTTATTTACCATGTGCCAATAACTGTACTACAGATGTTTCGGTGAACTACACAATAAACCACTTATGTTTAGCTTTGCAGCTAAAGTGGCAGGGAGGTGTCGTGCCTGTTACGCTGTAAAAGAATCACACTGAACAGCACAAATATTTAGAGACAATGGGATGTCACTGTTTACCTGGCAGAGAAGACTAACGTAAATGGTGTGGTGTCTTCAAGAAAACTAGGGGAACTATTGGTCTTGTGGGATCTCCAAGGCGGGGGGGGGGGAAGTTTACAAGCAATGAAAACATAGCAGTAGAGGAGCTCTGGGCACTTCCACGCTAATCTAGTGATCAGCCTGTCTATTAGTTTCCGTATCTCACAATCTGATTGAACTGTTAAGATTACTGTAACAGTAATCTTAACTGTTACTGTTAAGATTACAGTAACAGCCGTGGTTATGGTTTTACCTTAAAAATGATAAGCAATTATCTCTATCACACAAGAAAGATAGGGTATATAGAGTAATACAAGCTACATTATGTACAATGGGACGATGCAACTCAGAATACTACTTACAGCATTTCTAAATCTTTTCCTTTCTCTAAAATGTGACAGAATTAGGTACCCTGCAGTAAGGGAAGCTCCTGCTCAAAGTCTCTCTGGGTCGTAAAAACATGGTCATGTTGTCAGTAGGGGGGTCTGGTTGGGTTGTCGTCAAGGCAGCCAGCCGCAGCAAGGCAGTTGCATATCTCCCAAGGAAGCGCAGTGCCGGATTGTGTTGGCATAGCGAGCAATTGTGTTGGAGAATTCTGCATCATAGGTGGGATTTTAAAAGGTGAGTAGGGAAATGGAATTTTTACAATACGATGAATAAACAGACTCACATGTTTTACACATAAGCTTTCATTTCTAGTCAATACAGATGAGACAGCTGGAATACTGTATCCAGTTTTGAGTATTATACTTCAAGAGTGATTCAGAGTAATATGAATGTAATAGAAGTCTTCCAGGTTTCTGAAAAAATTCATGAAGGAATCAGGGTTATGCGGGTTAGAAAAGACCATGAAGAAAAATGACAAAATTTCATACAGAGGGAAGAAGTAGTCTTCCCATGCTCAATGAGAAGAGTAACAGCCTCAAAATTGTAGCAGGAGAAATTTTGACATAAGGAAAATCTTTCTGGTAGTTAGACTAGAGCAGTGAAACACATCACTTACAGAGGCTGCAAAACTGCCACGACTGGAGATTTACAGAGCACTTGTGTAACTACCGAAACCATTCCTGGCAGGTGAGGCTGCCTTGAGTCAGGTACATCAGCCAGATGATTGCTTGAAGTCCCCTGAAGCCCTATTTTTAATGACACATATAGACCTGCAAACAACACACTGAAAGATTTAAATCATAAAAAAAAAAAGCAGGTAACAATGGTTACTCTGCACTGACTCTTCATATTATTTCACTCCATGCAAAATTAGCAGCTACTGCCCCAGAAGTCAATATAACAGTTTTACTGCACCTTGTTTCTCAACTGGAATATTGCTGGTATTTCTGTGTATAAACTTCTAGTCTGAGCAAAGACATTTAAAATCAATATTTGCACTCATGCATCACAACCCACATGGAAAACAAGATAAATGACACAAGTGCAACTTAATTCCCTAGTGTTGGGAAGTGTCTCATTCCCACACTGTTTTAATGGACAGTGCCATGCTGTCCAGTTCTTTTGCACCTGGGGAGTTTGGGCTCCCCTTCTTAGGATCAGGATTTGGGAAGCCAGAGTACTGAGTAGGAGCTAGCCAAGCCAGCCAGTGAGAAACATGACTCCTCAAGAAAGGCGAGGTGCACAAAAGGAAATGCTGTTGAGCATTCAAAGATGCAAATTCTCTTCTAGCATTGCCTGCTTACAGCAAAGCAGTCCCTTCTTGCAAAAAAGGCAGACTTCAAAAAGGGAACACATCCATGAAATGAGACCTCCCTTTACTCGCAGTCCCCTTTCAGACTTGGAACAGAGCTCCCCACCAGAAGTCAAGGATTCATTTTGCTGTCTCTCTTGACCAACCAAAAGTATTTCATACTGAATTAATAGTTTCAAAAA